GTGGGATATTGTGCAGGGACAGACAGAAATATCACACAGGCTATAGACCTAAAGTCTGGCTGTTAACGAGTAAAATTACGTCTAGAGTAACTAAGTTATCGAGAAAAACAATCTACCCTAACAAAAATCTATTTTGTCGATTTATTTATGTAACCAAAATGGTATTATTTCATATACACGTTACTTAGCTGATGTCAGGATATTATGTCTTCTTTTAATTGCAGTTTGGCGCAACTGCGAAAACGAATACATGTACATCTTCTAGTTCTATTGCTAAAATGAGAGTCAGGCATGGTGGATCGATCGAACAAGGACATGTACATGTGAAACGATCAAGGGTCAAAGTTAAAAATACCACTGCGCAATCGTGACAAAAAAACCACAGGCGACGCACGACGGGCGACGCACGACGGGCGACGCACGACGGGCGACGCACGACGGGCGACGCACGAAGGACGACGCACGACAGACGATGCACGACAGCAGATATGGAATTCCATAAGTTAGGCTGATCTGCTCAACAAATGTTTTTGTGAGATCGTTGAGTTGAGTTTCTGCACTGGCGATAGGCAACTTGGTTTCAGTCTCCTGCAGTGCTGGTGGTGTTATACTATTATCTTCTATCCCTGGAGCTTCTGGTGTCGCTGCAGGTGACGTTGACCTTGCATCGGACTCATCAGCGTTCAGGGCCGGTAGAGGTTGGATGTATTTTTTTATCGGTGAAGTTTTTTCCGTTTCCTTCACCGCATCAGTTATGACGGCTACATATTCTTCTTGTCTCAGCCTGATCAATTGCCTTTAATCTTGCTTCTGTTTCATGCAAGTTTGTCAAAGTTTAATCTTCTTGAGCTTTGACTTTTGCCGCTCTTCTAATAGGAGACACAACTCGAACTTGACCAGCAAACAGCAATCCGGTTCATTCACTCATCATTTATAAATAGACACTTTGTATAATAAAATCCAACAGTGCAAAATATACTTAGGTTCACACATACGGTTCATGTATAAAATACATGTTTATTGCCTGCGTGCACTTAATGCACGTTGACGTCAATTTCAAACAAACAGAGTTAGGCGTTCGGCCCAAAAAAATCATGCCAAAACAACACTTATAATCACTGAATTACACTCACCCAGTCCTGGGTAGTTACACTAGCTGGCACTTAACAAGCTGTTCGAAGTCTTTCTGATGATGCTCTAATTATGCAAGATAGAATGATGGAACGATGGAAGCGTTCAGCTAGGCTGTGTGAGATAGCTAATGTGCGCGGGAAATTGCGCTTGACACGTGAGGGCGCACTTGCATCCATCACATTATCAACCAATGAGTGTACATTTATGTGATTACTAAAAATAATACTTTGTCTACACCCATTCAGGGCCGGATTGCTCCACAACATTGAAACGGGGATGGGGCTCAAGTTTGAGCTCTTGTAAACTGAAATGGACATTTGGCAGAAACTTTAAAGTGGCTTGTAGATTGATTGGATTTTAAGAGTGAAACTTCTTAAAAAGCATTCAATGACACACACCAGTTTATCACATAGTTTGCAAATCATGTGGGTTCGCTTCCTGCGAGTTTTTGTGCCACAAACAATGTAGTTGCGTTTTTCCCAGTAACGCTTTTGCTTGGAAAATGCTGTACACCTTCAGAAACACAAGGGGTGCTCTTGTGCACCACCACTTTTCCCTAATGACAGTAGACCTTGGATAGAATAGAGTCGGGAGTCAAGATTTGACAGTGTGCGCTTTGGGTCCATACTATTATACACTATTCCTACATTTAGAATGCATGATGTCTCAAAGAGCAAAAGTACCCTTTTCCACCACTTCACTGAACTCAACAAATACAGTTGAAATGATACGAACCAGCTTTGGGCCAACCAGCTGTCAGTTCTAGGCCACCACTGACATACCACATCTGGCTAAGATCTGGCACGGGTGAGCAATAACTGACCTGGACCAGTCCGGGCACCAGTCAGCCCAAAGCTGACTAGAGTTGGGCCAACTGTGGCAAGCCGGGCTTGGGCCAACCTTTTCAGCCTGGTCCAGCCATCCCTGGGCCACCTTTGGTCCATAACTCCGGTGTTGTCTGGTTACTACCTGACTGATAGTCCTTAAATTTGATCATGGTCTCGTTAGGAGTAAGGTTTTGGCTGGGTCTGTTAGGACGCAGAAAAGATGGTACTATTGTCTGCAAAAACTGACCTTGACAGCTTGTCAAGAGTAGTGTCCATACTTTGAGCTCCTTGGTTGTTGGTCAGATGGAAGTCAGAATGCAAAAAAACTATATGAAAATGAACGATGAGCTTTCAGTTTTCATCTTGTTGGCCGTATGGGTGCATTCCACTTAATTGTTGGATATCTGTGCGCGCGTTCATTAATATTTTGTGATCCACATACCAAAATCAGGAGGGATCATAGAAATATTTCTATAAATCGCGAGTTTGGGACAAGCAGGTTCTAGTTCGGGGTATTTCTTTCACAAAAAGCCCAAAATTGCGGGCCTACATGTATTTTGGATAGAGGCGGGCGACTACATCAGAGCTGTGAGCGCCTATTTTTACTACAATATGGGGGTATCTTTTGGAAAGGCGAATTAAAAAAAAAATCACGTGGCTAACCCCCATAAAATCCAAACGAAAAGTTCTCTTCTGGCCGTATTCTTCAATTCCAGTGAAAAAAAACGGAGGTTAACCTCTTCCCGAGAGTCAACAGGCAGCGCTATATTTCGGTATGATTTTGCACTGTTTTCTATGGGCGCCTATTCGGTGTAGTGCAACCCTATGTACGTATATTAATTTTTCAGGACTTGTGACATACGCCCTCTGTTGGCCTTAGTAATCACCAGCCACTTCTAGAAAAAGTAAGGCACGATGGCACGACGCGACGCTACGACGGCACGACGCGACATCACGACGGCACGACGCGACATCACGACGGCACGACGCGACTGCAAGACGGCACGACAAAATACAGCATACACGTAATGAGAAAAAGAGGCGACGCCACGACGCGCCGGGACGACGCGACGGAGATGTCGTAGCGTCGCGTCGTGGTGTAGGGGCGACCGGACGACACGACTCAATTTTGGCGGCTATGTAAAATCAAAGGAAGGCGGCAGTGTGACCTGACGGTGCGACGCAAGGGAGCCGTCATGCCGTCGCGTCGTGTAGTTGCGTCGCCTTGGAAGAGGCCAGAGACAGGAAAAAATGTGTGTGTCGTAAATAGTACACCATAATGTTATAATGTTGCCCTGTATACAGGGTTTCCCAGAAAAAACCAAACCCTGCGAAAAGGGGTTAATATGCTATGCCCAAACCATGAGATATGATTATAATGTATAAGGATCTCCGAAAAGTAGAAGCAGTATTCTTTCTAATGATACCTTGATGGTATACCTCTTGACGTGCATGAAAGAACACCTGATATCTTATCCAGGACAAGCATGACACAGGACAGCCTCATTCACTGGTTTATCCAAAGAGTTACAACTGAGTTAGGATGCCCCATCTTCAAGACAATGGTGTTCAGTCATGAAAGAATCCTGCTTCTACTTTTCGGAGATCCTTATACGTTATAATCATATCTCATGGTTTGGGTACATTATCCCCATTCCGAAAGGGCTTGGTTTTTTTCTGGGACACCCTGTAGTGCATCCTTTCATGGGAACCACGTGAACAAAATCCAGTGTCTTGAACTTACAAACACGGAACAGGCATTGTTAACTTGGCAAGCATCAAATGTCGATGAATTTCAGTTTAACGAGTTGCGTCTTGTGTAGCTGACATATTATCACTACCCACGGCTTCATAGACGCCCTAATGGTTGCCAACAAATTAGTTTGTTTATTGGTTATCATTTTCAACCTCACTCTTTCTGCAGAATATAAAGTAAATAGCATTATCTCTTCTTTGTTTTTCGGGGACAACTATGGCTGTTGTATTACAGGCGAAACTAAGGGTCTCTCCATTTCAAACCAACATTTCAACGAGGCATTTCCCAGAAAGACAATTAAGTGCCTTAACATACGAACCTTTGAGAGAAATTGCGAAGTAATTTTAATAGAGGATAACAGAGGAAATTCTTTTCACAGAGGATAGTTTCTGATTTAATTTCAAACATCATACATACATTCAAATAAACGTACATATCTAATGGTCATTTGAGACAATGGTACTATACTAAGAAAAAGTAACCCAGACTTGTCACTGTCATGTTTCCATCCCCTTTAACAGATCCCGGGGGCATGCATCTGATGGAGGAAACGGCTAAGGCAATTTCCAATCTATACGATAATGCTTCCTTTGTCATAGATTTACGGCAGGTCATTGGCTTGTCAGTGTCGAAGATCAGGCCAACTTTCAATTCCCTTATTTATACACATATTTTCTAATGGGGCGTTATTTATACTGCAGATTTAATATAACAAAATGAGATCGATGTTATTTGTCCTAAACAAATATTCAAACCACTTAATTTCTGAATTATCAAAAATTCACAAACATTCTAGAGTATGTTTTAAGATGTCATTTTTAACAGAGATAAACACCATACTTTGTAACCCTGTCAGAATTAGGTAAACGGAATGAGGAATCTTCCTTTAATATCAGTCATTTTTGAAAGTTGTCTTTAATTTAAAGTCCAATATTGAGTTCATATCACTAAAAAAGCCCCCGTAAGTGATATGTCACTGTTGAGAATGTACTTTGTAACCCTGTCAGGATTAGGTAAAGGGAACGAGGAGTGCTATCTAAATTTTTCTCTGAGTTTTAAAACTTTCTTGTTTTCTCGGAAAGTGCACAGTCATAACTTCGGTGATTCCTGTGTCTACTTGTACCGTGACCAAACTACTCGTAAGAATTGTGCACAAAGTACTGAACATCAAAGGGTTTCCGGAAATTTCAGCAAATGGGCAGCCAATTCAACATCCGTGCCATTCTATATGAAAGCAGCTCTAAAATGGTTATTCCCTTTCGTTATAAATTGCGTCATTTGATTTAACAAAATTATTACCCAAATTATCAATTCAACCAAAAGGCATTTGATTTCTTAGGTGCTTTTTTATCTGTAATTTGTGCAATCTAAAAACGCACTGTTTTTTTCCTTTGGAATGTTATTAGTATAAATACAGGCGTCACAAATCTCTAACAATGGAGGTGCTATCTACTTCTGAAAGTAGCCATCCAGAATGTTGATGGTATCATTCAATAAATGTACTTTAGGAATCCGAATGCACAGAAAGGAATTGAATGTCTGAATTTCAAACTGGAAACACATACAATAGGAAAAGTGGCTCTAATTCAAACGCACAAAAATTCAACTGGCCACATTTTTTAACAGAAATTGACCGGGAAAACTTATAGCTAAAGGTAAATTACAATATCGTAACATATAGTATTTGCAAGTGAATATATTTCAAAAGTGAATGACAGCTTTATGTTAGTAAAACAACAAATTTCCTTCGACATTTTGGCTATCTGAATTCCTTTAGACATTTCAATATACGTGACTAGTTGTCACAGATGAATGGCAAGAATCTGGGCTGATGTTGAGGGGTCGAACCCCCTTCCTTGCTCCGAGACAAAAAAACCCAAGAGATAAAAGAAAAGTGGGAAAACAATACAAAACTAACTAAAGCATTCTGGAGATTCTTTGCACCAATGCCACTGTAAACGATGTATGCCATGTAATGTTTCATCACCGTTTCCACTTGTCTGCAAGCTTGAAAATTAGAAAAACCACCGGTCTGATCACCCCAGAAATCTTCCTTGATCCGCCCTGTTAATTGATAACAAGCTTTTAAAATCCATTATGAAGGAAGCTAGAAACATTTCCAACTTGCTTATATCCCCATCATGGCCCTCTTTCACACCAGAAAAACTAAACTTTACACAAGAAAAAGTGAACTTTACACAAGAAAAAAGTAAACTTTACTTTTTCTTGTGTGAAAGAGAGCCATGTTGGGGATACAAGCAAGTTGGAAATGTTTATATAGCTACCTTGGTAAGTGATTTTAAAAGTTAACAAACATCATGTTAACAGCCAGAAACACCAGATAGTTGTCAAAGCACTCGCGATGGTGCCTGAACTTGATAAGGTAGATAAGAAGCGGCTGCCTACAGCCGGGAAACCATTCATATCGTCCGAATAAGTTCGATCCTTTTCCGGTCATGTCAATATTTTGTAAAAGATCACACAGAAAGAAAAATATCAGTAAATCTTGTCAACGTTGGTTTGTACTCCGACCTTACTTTTCCTAAATAAAAGGTTTTGCTTTAAAAATAGGAAAAGCTCATCACTGAAAATTAGTGAATTTTTCCTCTTCTGTGCATTTTAAATATTTGGTCTAATGTTCTTGTGAATTCCTAACAATGAAGCAAACTAAAATATTCCCCATTTTTATTCTCTAAAAAGTCAACAGTGTAACCGTGTACCATGATTCAGTTTCCATTAAATTTTGACTCGTGAAATCTGGATCCATTGTCCCTTTTAAGGATCCATAGTCCCCTTTTATTAGCTGTGCCTGCTTTGTTCGGTGCTGCATGCCTCAAAGCGTCATATGCAGCAAGGTATGAGACGGAGAGAACCCCCCCCCGCGTTGTGTTGGTCATTGTCTCGCAGGAATCTGGGGAATTCCTTTCAGATATCTTGGGGGGATGCGTTAAGTAACAATAGTCTGGAATGTGTATAGGGATTGGACATGTTGGAGGGGGGGTACCCTCGGTCTCATTTCTTGCTGGGTATAAAGGAAAGTGGTACAACTACAGTTAAGCATTGTTTGCGGTCGATCTTGCCTATTGTGCCACAGCCTACAATCTTTGGCGTGTGATATACCACGTCATGGGTCTTTACATTTGGTCCTCCTTCTTGACGCCCTCGCTGGCCATAGTCGTAGCAGTCTTCCTGTTAGCGGACTGGAGGTGAGAGGGATTGGATGAAGACGCCGAGCTCGACACTTTGTTGCTGTGACGTCGCTTCATTGCTTTCTGAACCTGATATAAGGAAAAGATGTCGTCAGAAGTGAACTGCTGTGCGTTAGTGCGTATTTTGTATCGTTTGGAAGTATCTGTCAAATAAGGATGACTATGTACAAAAGGCCCAGGGCCTTCTGAGACCACGCTAGAATACTGACACAGCAAACTGATTAATACTCGAGAAACATGGCGGGCAAAATTTGATCCCAGTCTCAAATATTACCCACACGCAATTAATTGCATAAAGTAAACGCTCACGAATTGTGCAATAATCGAAGGGCGAAAAAAAATCAAAAAATAGCAATTGATTTTACTCATAATGACGAAACTCAGCGTATATTTACCCTATTAAGGATATGTGTATTTAGATTTGACAGAATAGTCAGGATGTAAATTTCAACCACAGATATTCGATATGAAATCATATGCACCATCTTCCCAAACTTCTACTTTTATGGTGCCGCCACTTGCAATTGATGTAGAATATATTTTGTATTGCTTTCATTAGCTGAAGCTTGTCGAGAAGTTCACCTATGTAAGTGGTGTTAGTGAAGGATAATTTTTGTTTGGGGGTTTCTTTTTCCCTGATATTCAACTTTGTTTTCTTGCACTCATGTTTTGTTTTTAGCTTCGGCGCTCCATTTCGTTTCCATGAATAAACTTCGTTGACGGTCATTCAAGAGTATACAATCATGAATCTTCAGAGTGTAATCTCTGCTGCCTTTTTCCAATAGGTGCAGTCAAATGAAAGTCAAATGTAATGTTAGACTGGTTTCTATTCCTGCATTATTTTCCTCTTCCTCGCTGTGAATGAAATATGTGAAATGTGGGCGGGAATCAGGCAAGTGAAATGAACTTCTATTCAACGGTAGAACGAAAAATTTGACGACATGTGATCAATGATCCAATGATCAATGGCCCGATGAGGGGGATTTATGCAGTTACTACAAAATCACACCATTTCCTTGAACTTTTGGACAAGAAGTTACTGTATTCCAGTCTTTCAATTCTAATACTGTAAAGGGACTAAATGTCATTCTTGTTTAACCAGGGGGCAAATTAATGTCAAAGAGTTGTTCGATTTTACTCAAAGATACCTGAACAAGTACACCGCAAAATCTGGGGTGTTTAATTTAATACCACTGGTGTTATCAGAGGACAACACCAACACTTTTTATTTGTGTTAAACATTTTGGTGTTACTTTTAACACCCTCCCGTGTATCTGTACCACTTAAAGATGTACAAAGTAACACCAGCAGTGTTAAAGTAATACCGTATGGTATGGTCATCTGATAACACCAAAAGTGTTGATTTTAACACCAGAGTTTTTACAGTGTATCCGTTGTCATTAAAGCCACATTGGGAAAGTCGACAGCCAGAGAAAATGTATGCTTCCTTCAACTGATGTTATTTTCTAATCCCAGAGTGCAAGGATATTTGCCAGGCAACATATTAACAGTGGTCTATGTGACTTTTGCGTTATGACAATCTATGTTTACTTGGACTTTTTAGGCTTCCGTGAAGCTTTGGACTGAGTGATAATTTTCTGAAAGAATTCATTACACGATGAAAATGTGTACCAAAATAATGAGTGTATGCCCTGCTTACCTCAATATTCATCAGTCCGTGGCAAATGAACACGAAAATGCCCTGTAATAGCAGAGAGAGTTTAAATCCATTTCAAAGAAGTGAACAAGGCGGTGGTAAACATTCATGAATTGACAGGCGAAATGAAATACATAATGGCATGGGCCTATGAGAGTTACCCTACGCCCACTCACACCCAGGTGTGTATTTTCCTGCAACTGGGGACCCCCTATTGTTCCTCTTTTGTTTGTACTTTAACTTTTTTAGAAGACGACCCATATGTTTTGTACACAGTCGTCAATCGGGGACCCTCTGTCAATCGGGGACATTATTGTCCACTATTGTTCAGGGTCCCCAATTGAATGCAGAAACAAACTCATATGCACCCAAACCCACGTAACTTCAGACGTTTTGCTTTCAAATAACCTTACATCTATGGAATACCAGGTTGGGTCTTGAAACGGAAAACCCCTAAAGAAGCAAATGGGTTTGTCTTTTCCTTAAATATTAAATCTTGCAAAAGATTTTTGCCTTCCTTTATGTCATTAACCATTGAAGACATTGACGAAAATAGCAAATCGTAAGCAGAACCTCCTGAAGGTTCACTGTAAAAACAAGAGTTAATGTTTTAATGTGTTTTAAACGTCTTTCTGGTTACACTTTATGAATGCGTTTCGATGTTGATAATCCAAATCCAAACGCGTTTTGATGTTGCTTTTTTAAACAAAGACGTGTTGATGTGTTAATAAATTAAGACACAAAGACACGTTTGGATGTACACAAAGACACGTTTGGATGTACACAAAGACACGTTTGGATGTACACACAGACACATTTATCGGGTGGTTTGAACACCGATACACTTTTATTTCCAAAAAGGTGTTAAGCCTTAAAGTGTTACATGACATTGTTTACAAAGACCGTTTATGCTCGGTATTGGTGTTTACAGTGTTAAGAAGAATAACAATCAAACTGCGCGGATGCCTGGAATCGCACAGAACGCAACATCATGAGGTAACATCGACAACATGTACATGACCAAATTGTGATCGGGCTTACAAGGACTATACCCTCGTTTTATTGACTTCAGACAGTGCATTCAGACCAAACTAACCTATGAAAAATCAATTCTTTATGTTCTAAAAGGGGCAATGCATCAAATCTGATATAGCATTTTAAATAATGAGCCTGAAACTAGTTAAACCTACCTGTGTCGAGTTCAAGATGACAAAAATGTACTTGAAGGCAGTGGAGGCATTGCCAAGCAAGCCGAAGATCCAGGTCAAGCCTAAGATTGGAACCAATACGACAACGGCACGGAAACTAGCCCTGGTGATGGAGGAAAGTGTAAAAGGGCAAACCCTTCCGTCAAACAAATGGCCTCAACTCCCTAGTCGTTTATTGCTAATTTTTAATTACAAAAACTTTTTACGACCAAATGCAATCAACTCCCGTTTTTGCGTACCTCTGTTCATGCTGAACAGCCTAGTTTAGTCACCTTTAACATTGGGGATTCCCCTTAGCCAGAAAAACAATATTCGAGTCGGCCTCTGACCAGGTCCCAAGGGAATGTGTGTGAACATGGTATAAACAATTCCACCATGCGGCCCCATGGGAATATTTACATTGCTGAAGCCAAGGCTTGCCAGGGTCTGTCCTATATCATGTTAGCTGTTGGAGAGGACAGCCGTGGCTTGGCAGTTGATGAATGACAGAAGCTTGGTCCCTAGGGACCCCCTCTCACTTCAAATGCAGCAGGACTGGAAATAAAGGTACCCCGGCCTTACTTTGACCTCCCTCTGCGGTTTTTAATAGTTGTAGGGGCTAGAAGAAACCTACGGAGCAATATAAATGCGATACAAATTTGAAAAAATGTACACCATTGCCACACTGGCCTACGCAGTCGAGGTCGTTTGACCTTTTACGTAACAAAACCGTGTAAACGCCTCCAAAGGTAAATAAAGAAGATCTTTTCTCACACACCACTCTGAGCATGTACATTGCCCATCAGTAAGGACGTCTGCTGCCACAATCCATTCAATGCCTGAATGTTACACAAGTTAATGATTAAACAGCGGGGACTATGAATACCTGACCCTGTGGGCGTTGTCCTTGTTCATATTCATCTTCAGTGACAAGAAAGTCTTCAAGACAATACACACCACAACAACGTTCACCTGTTAATTAAAACCCATGATTACAACGAACATTAGCAGAAACAAGAATATTACTTGAAATTCAGAGATCCACGCACAATTAGACACGAACACAATCAACGAATTAGCCAAACAGTTTGGGGTGTTGATCATTAAAGTCAAAATTCACGACCATAAAGACAAATTGCAGATAAAGGCAACTGTAGACTATACTTTAGAATATAAATTCGATCTTTAGTCTTGCAAAAGTCAATTGTCTGCGGTGAATTTTAAAATTCTCTGGAATTGGCGAAACACTAACCACGAAAAGCTATTTCAAAAAATTCAATTACAACAATATTTCCTGCTGCATATTATTTCTGATCTGAAAGAAGCACAAAGAGAGCATCATTTATGGCACTAGACCTTTCAAAGCAAGAATAATTATTCAGGCACATTTTCAACATTCCAGACCAAGAAATTCGCTGCAAAATTTAGAGAATAACGTTTAACAACGTTAGGTTTTAAAGAGCAAAGTGTTAAACGCCGATGTAAAACTTTCTGCGTTCAAACAAACAAAGAAACAAACAAACAAACAAACAAACAAACAAACAAAACAAACAAACACCCCAACAACCCCAACAAACAAACAAACAAACAAACACCCCAACACCCCAACAAAAAAACAAAGAAACAAACAAGAAATGCATTTCTGAGTACTTTAATATCCGTAAAATAAAACAATTATATAGGCCTAATAACAGGGACAATCAGCAAGAATAGAACCTAGCAATACCTAATTTTTTGTTAGATTCACACTAGTGTCTAACCTTGTGCGAAACTAAAAGCTGAAACTAAAAAATGAAGATTTCATCTCTTAATTAAACATACTTTGAAGCCTTATTTATTTCAGGATATCTGCTGACCTCTTTATATTAAGTAACAGATAATACGATATATTACACACACACGCACACATACACAAATACTACCCACCAGAGTCACAGCGATGACCAGAGTTGCAAATGCCCAGATCTGACCCTTATGAGCAGTCAACCAACAGAGGCTGCCATTAAATAAAAATTAAACCCAAGAAATAATTTAGACGAAGAGTAAGAACAGACACTAACTAGCAACAGAAGTAAGTTACAATTCGTTTAATTTTAGATGAAACTTCATTTTTGTGTAAAAATCAGAAAAAAAATTACGATTGGTCTTAAATTTTGCCCACAGCGTTTTGTGCTAATCAAAACTCTGTTTATTTCCCTTGTAAGCTGGCCTTTTGCAGTTCTTTACTTCTGCCAATGTTAGTAGCATTGAGACTTTTCGTGCATCGCACTATTGAATATGATCCCTGGTCAAATGCAAGAGTGGAATTATTTACATTCAGCACCATGTCATCGTAAAAAGAAGTATTCCTTGGTCAACATGTGTCATAAATCTAAAAAATCTAGATACAGATAAAAAGGCTTTATTGTATTTATTTTTTTAACCAGATTAAGGGAATAACCTTCTTCATTCGCACGTAAACATTCGACGCACATGTCCATGGAAACAGTTTGGCAATTTTCATTTAACTTCGTGGAAAAAACCTGGAGGTGGGTTGGTAAACAAAACAGTGCCCATTTCAATAGTCAAAATTGAGTCTAGACTATTTCCTCTCATATGGACTCACATTTTACAAGCAGCCACGTCAAAAAGTACTTACCCATAAATGCCATAATGCTTGTAGCCAATGGAAAATGACGTCAGCGTTACAAGACTTGGAATACCTGAGATTATACAACAACACTGAAAACAGCTGGTATTTGCGGACTCCTTGGATTTAGTGGGTTATTTTCGTTTACTCAAAAAGACTCAAATCTAGTAATGCAATCGTCTCATACTCCAACCCAAACCTACCCCAACCAATCAGCATCAAGATCAGAATCTTTGGCGGTTGCCTAGATACCATCACGGCCCTCTGCAACAGAAGCCCGCCCTCAACTAACATCCAGCTGAAGGACGCACTGAAAAATAGCTGCAGCAGAACAGTAATGATCCGACAGCCGGTCTGAAAAGTAAGCAAAAATCTAACAAAGATAAATAACACTAAATGGTAGATATTGCAAGTAGTAAATGTCTTTATAGCCGCACATGCACGCATTCACGATGTGTCCAGCACGGAAAAGATACATTTCAACGCCGATTTCATGTTCTACTTAATGACACAAAGCTTTTTGGCAGACTGTTGACCACACTCTCAGCTAACATGCTCCTAGCTATGACCTTATGGTGTTGGTTTCAATCGTGCTCTCACCATCAAGCTGTTCACGTATATAGCATATATAGCCTATACGCACCCAAAAACAATGTGTATGTGAATGTATGTGAATGTATTGTAACCATTCACGTAAATTTGTGCTGGAAATGAGGGAGGGGTGGGGAAAGGTGGGGGTTGACTTGCCCGGCCATGAAAATTTTGAAAAGCGGGCGGGGGGAGGGGTGACGTCATACACAGGTCGAAGTCCATAATATTGATGTACATCAAGGAGTAAGGTTGGTATTATTGTGGCTCTTTTCTCGCCTTCCATCTCTGTGACCCAGGTTCGAATCCCACCTAGGTCAGCATGTGGATTGGGTTTTCAGTCCCTGCCTGACTCCATGGGTTTTTCCTGGAATATTCATTCTGGGTTTTCCTCCCAACTCTACAACTGAACATTTTTTCCTTAGCTGTCTTCTTAATTATCACTTCATCCTGTTATCGGCGCTAAAGGCGCTGTTGGATGAATAGATATAAATAAAAAATAACATTACAATCTGTAATATACACTCAAAATATTTATGGCTTTTAAAATTGTTCTATCTTCTGTGTAGTCTTGAATGCATTTCCCTTGTTGGGAATCAGAAAAATTCTTCACAATCCGCTTTAATTGTTTGCTCATCACAACAAAGTATGTGTGTGTGGTGGGGGGATGATTCCATAGCCCACCTCCTCCAACGTCAAAAAGTGTGGGGGATATATACACCCCATCCCCTTGCATTTACGCAGTCAGTAATTTGTCACATTTGCTTTCTCGCCAAGTAATGGCTTCTAAATAGCGCCATCACATTGACTGCACTTGAAATATGGCAGTACCCGTTTGCTCTTACTGACCGTCAGTTGATCGCTAATTTTTTTGTACAATGAAGACAGCAGTAAGCTATACGTGATACAATTCATTTCCTTTATTCTTACAAAAACTAATGATGAAAGAGATTGATGGTCGCAGGTGCAAACGAATAGGGTAATGAGTACCAATAAAATCACATTCTGAATGAACATCTACACATTCTTGGCTGCACTTGTGTATCGAGTGCAATATTTTTGCTATGCTTTCACTGACTGGACAGATCTTATTGGACAGATGATCAAAGATCAACATTCTGTTTAGAGACGACGCATATGTATGGAGGGTCCATGCACGGGTCATGAAGGTAATAAGGTACCATAAGGCGTTCAATTACTCCTATTCAGTACAAGATGCTGTGTATAAATTCCTTGACCGTGGCTGACAAACGCACCAAAATCTTTAAAACACGGCGTTGTCGTCACTAGCTCGTGCGATTCCACATGGCCACATTATTTCGAGCCGAGGACAATTAGTTTGGACGCAGTCACTTCGTTTAAGCTGTTACCAGCGCCACTAATTGGATGCTGGGTGTGAGCATTATCAGTAATGCAAAGTCAATGGAAAGACCGTATGGAAACAGCATACATGTATTTCGGAGAAGGCATGGAGGATGATTTGATTGAAACTGACCAGGTTTTCGGTAGCCCTAGTCCCGGCAAGGAACAACACCTGGGCCACAAGTAGAGATACGACCAAGTTGGCGTGAACCTTTATCTGAAGGAACTTGAACAACCTGCCAAATATGAAATTAAGACCCGTCGTTTGATGTTTTTAAAGAGCTGTATTACAGAGACATGAAAACTATAAACCAATCTTGGGGTTATATATGATAGGTTGTACATAAGTGCAAATTAACCTGTACATGCACTTTTTATTCAAGAAAACATTTCTTCACCATGTTCGAAGTACATTGTCGCGGGTTTGGAGCTGCAATACAAATGTCCAAAGTTTGGATTCTTTCGAAACATCAAAGACGTTTTTCTGTAATGAGCAAGACAGAAATATAGCAGGGATTTGCGTCACAACGGACGACGGGTGTTATTGAAACAGCTTTTGAAATATACGTACCTGAATATAATAAAAACATAGAAACTTGCCTGAGGTAAGAGTAGAGTATCAACGTAAATGCAAGACTAATCACTGAGAGGGACCCGAAGATGGTACTCAGCAAACTCAAGGTGCGATCGTGGCCTGGCATCTGACCATACAAATAAAAATCAAATATTAACATTGTGCCTTAAGTTTGAAGCCGAAGTCGGTCTTCATTATTCAACCACACAACATTTGCAATGAGACAGCATCATGACAGTTCTCTTTTATCTCGTATTTTTTCTGCATAGTACTGGCAACGGTTGAATTTGTCACACCTGATCCGGTCCACTGACAGCAGAACGTTCTGTGACTTGTAACAGTACGGCAAAACTGGTGTTATGACTGCAGAAACAGGTAGTCTTTGCGGACTCCGCAGTGGCAGGATTCATTGTTCGACATCCCTTTGAAGACCATGTCCTGCATAAATACAATGTCACTCGAAAAGATCACAAACTTTTTGCGTGTTGTTTAATAAAAATGATCAAACAATGAAGTATGATTTTAACACAACGACCGATTTTCTTCAAACTCAATACAAACAAAATATGTTTGGTCAAAATTACGTAAATTGAAAATAGACCGTGCGGTCTTTTCAAATTGATCACTAAAAAGAAAGGTATACTTTGCAGTCGTGTTTTACCAGTGGCTATTTGAAAATGTAGATTATTACCATCAGTAGAATCAAAAACACTTTAATTTTGATGACCTTAATAATAAACATTTAACGCCTCCTCCAAGATAAAGCTTACTCGAGCGTTGCATTCCAGAAGCAACACTGTCGTGTCACAATCTGATCTTCATTTTTGTCTGCAGGATCCTGTCGGCAAACAGTATTTGTAATGTAATGGATCAAAGGCTATCCATCCAAATAGTAACAGAAAATAACGAAAATAATATAGATATGATATGGACGAAACTAATAAAAAAAGCACAAAACCAATCTATATCTAGGACAAAAGTACAAAGGACAAAGGTGATTTGTATGGGACAGAAACTAATAAATATACCATAAAACCATATATCAATGACGAAAATAATAAATATAGAACGAACAGTAGGTAGGACAGTACAGTAAGTAGGACGAAGCGCCGCCCCCTCCACGCCAAACCGGTTGTGATAGCGCAAAATGTAAAATATGTAGGACCAAAACGTAAAATATAGATCGAAAATGTAAAATATTTAAGAAGAAGCGCCATCTACCGACAGGTTCGCCGACGGCGCTCCTATCTATAATGAAGGACTTATTCACTGAATTGTTCAGAAGTGAAGCAGATCTTTCCCTATTGTTCCGTAATGTTACGACCATACGGAACATTCCTGGAAAAGCCCCCCCCCCCATCATGGTGAGGCCACACTCTAATGTTTCAGGTTGCTGCCAGGTCAGGCCGATTGTGATAGACCGCGTTGTTGACAGTTGGCCTCTGGTACCAGGGGTACTGCTGCCAATGTCAGTCATTCCGCTGTATTATGACACTGGTGGCAGTAGGCCTAGGCCCAGTGGGTACAACATTAGTGGCAACTAATTCATGGAAAGAAGGGTTTGAAGGAGGTTGCCAACTGCTTCTCATACACGAACGTTCACATTATTTTCCAACTCTCGAGCATGGTTCAGAATCACAGCTCCACTCGTTTCGACAAATCTCTACGACAGTAAAGTGTGGTGTTGTGACGTACCGTATCAAGAGTGTCCGGGGAAAGAGTGACATGAGAATTACGGACAACACTAATTTTCCCTTCAAATGTTACAACATCCATTATAAGGTGATTACATGTCCCATAAAGTGAAATTTAGCAAGGAAAATTCTGACGCATCTGTAGAAAACAGGTTTTTTCAGACAATTCTCATATAGGTTTGTACACAGGGGCATCAAGTGTTTGTCTGTGTAACTCTTTCCGTGTCGGGCATGGCGCGCGCTCGGCACGACCAGTCGGTAAATGGCGCTTCGTCTTACGTATTTTACGTTTTCGTTCTGTAAAACACGTATTTAACGTTTTCGTCCTATATATTTTACATTTTGCTACCCGGTATATCACAACTGGCCTGGCGTTGAGGTGGCGGTACTTAGTCCTATTTATTGGTTTCGTTCTACCTTTATTAGTTTCCTTCTTTATGTGTTAGTTTTGTTCTATCCTCCTATAAATTTTAGTTTCGTTCTAATTTTTTATAGTTTCGTCCTATACATATTAGTTTTGTCTTATATATTTATTAGTTGCGTCGGTTATATATGAGTTTTGTCGTATATGTATTAGTTTCCATCCTATATAAATCACCTTTGTTCTGTAAATGTACTTTTTCCTATATGTAGATTAGTTTCGTCCTGTATATATTTCCTTTGTTCTTCATCTATTTGTTTCACTTTTGTCCTATATGTATTAGTTTCGTTTGATTTTTTTGTACTAATAAAGTCATCGAGGGTGCCTCATACACTGTAATTTTTCCTGTAAATTTTCCCTTTACTTTACTGGCAGCACGGGCGCCAGTATGCTGTTAATGATTTACAGTAACTTTTTACGGTAACTCGCGGTCATTTATTGGACAGTAATTAACCATGAAAAACTTATGTCAATTAATTACCTTAATTTGAAGTAGACATTAGACGCAGCAAGTTACCGTTTTCATTGATTACGGGTTCATTCTACATGTGTATTTGGGTATAAGTTCTGTTGATAAAGGATTCTCAAATTCATGTTAATTTTAACAGTTCAAATACAGCAAGTTACAATGATAGCATGCCTCGTATTCAGAAACCTTGATCGAGGCAGAACTTTCTGCACATTCTTAATGTGCACTGACATGGTATATATATGCATTGTTTGGCTCCCTAGTGTAATCATGGTTGGAACATGAAAAAGTAACATTTTTTTATTTTTCAAGTTCGATTTATCTTTTTAGCTCAGGCAATGGTTCACATTTCCATGTAAAACTACATCCAAAAAGCACAAACATTTTGTCAGACTAATGTCAAATACTTGCGTAAAGAATGGAAAACCACAACATTACTTTGCAAAAGTAGCAATGCCCCTTTTGTGTCAATATGCAAATTGATGTCAAAGTTTATATGATAATAATAACAATAATGAGAACCTATAACGCGCCAAATCCGTCACAAGTGGCGCTTGAGACGCAAACACTTTTACAAAACAAAACTACGCATATACAATACTGTGCTACATTCACGAAAGCACAGTAAATACGTGTAATAAACGCGTTTGTTTACAGTAAACTTTGTTGACAGTAGATTACTGTTGCAAAAATACAGTACAATATTGCTCATTTAACAGTATTTTTTACAGTGCATCATTTCATCGAAATGGAAAAAAATATACACTGAAATGAAACCCGTGAATACGGTAAGATCTCGAACATCTTATCATTAGAAAGGAAATATCGATTGTTTTATCCGATTGGTAAAGGATTTTGTATACCCGACAATGGTATAAATGTTTTGGTTCACACCTGTTGGTGTTGAAGAGAGAATGTCAGTCCAAGGTCCAGCGGTTGTCCTGCTGAGATCACACTACAAGACAAAATACCACTGTTGATTCTTGAAACAGCTTTGAACCCGGGCCTACAGAGGAAAATGGTAAATCTGGGTAATTTATTGAGAAGTGAATGGGCAAAAGATGCCCCCTTACTCTTGTAGACACAGCCATTTCATTTTTTGTGTCATAAGGCTGTTCGTCCCTGCTACCAATACACTATTAAAATGGACTGAAGTGTCTGAAGAAGCAAACTTCATAACAAAACCTGTTCTTGAACTTTGTTCTTGTAAGGATGAATGCACCATAGTGCGATGGAAAGTCTTAAAGGCGGTGTACACCATCGGTAGATTGGCTGATTGCGGTGTGAAATATTCACTACAACTTACATTCCACTGATTTGTTTTATGATTGAGTCAACTGCTTTGTGCAAAATCAAGAAAAACAATGCAGCATTTCAACGCTTAAATTGAAGGTCTTGTAGTTTATCTTGCGTAAAATCTATGGATTATAGGGCGTTCTTAGTAAAAACGAACATTGTCCGCGGGGACAGGGTGGGAAACAAGCATGACAGGTTCTCATTCCCGGAAAGGAGCAGTTTTCAACGGCTAGGAGTGATCAGTAAATTTACCTTGGAGTAATGCGCCTGTTCGACACTGTAGCATTTCGGATTCTTAGAAAAACTTCATCCAGGAACAAAGCAGTCGACTCGCGTCCGTGACATCAAAACGAGTAGGCCTACATGTATATGATAATGCACGTAGGCGCACGATCATGTTTATAACCGTACGGCACTTTTATGTCAGTCCACACGTCGATGAAAGTCCGAAACACCATTCATAGCTGAATCATTAATAATTAAAAGTAAAAAAAGAATTATTTCTTAAAAGTAAAAAAAGAATTATTTCTACAAATATTCGTGTGGAATCCGTACTTTTTGTTGACGAAAATCATCGTGTTTGGAAATAGCCGCCATATTGGATTATACCATTATTATCTGGGGTGATTTTGAATTCGCAAAGTTTTCCGTTGAAAAAACCTTTCCTTAAATGAAATTCAATTTCACACGGATCCAATTTATTTTCTACTTTACGCCTAACTCTCAGATTTCTATAATTTCAGTTAACACATTTTTGTGAAAGAATGTCAGTAAATTTTTACCTGCTTTTAGGTTTATCGACCGTTCATTAATGCAAACTCCCACAACATCTGCAAACACTACGTTATAAGAAATTCGGCGCCTGTTAAATGATGTAAAGTGCAAAGTAAAGTTAACTCTATTACCGTGGTTAGTCGACCATCGTAATACAAGAGAGAAATTTTTTTGTTTTCCTCGAAAACTACAGCATTCTGGGTGGAAATATTTTACAGACTGATTTAGACTGTGTGCGCATCTCTTTCAAGTAAGATATTTCAGGATTATACGATAGTCCAAATTTCGGGATTTTACCAATGGTGTACACCACCTTTAAAAAGTCTTCCTTTTATCCGTTAACTTTGAGTTTTTCTTTTAAAAAAAAATTGAGAAATTGATTCTCCGCTGTTCCACCTCCACACAATACGGCCTTACCCTGTGTTAGCCCACTCTCCAGCCGTTGAGTTACCCGTCCTATTTGCAACTCCCTGGTAGACCACTAGCACCTTTACGGGCCCTTGAAACCGAAAAGAATTGATATTACCTCCCAAATACACGAGAAGCTGCAGACATCAGCGAGCATTAGTGATTAAAATCACTCATGCAGTTAACCTGCGAGCATTGGATTCCACATCATGCATGTTAAGCACTAATTGCGAGATGCTGTCCCACATACGATTCTCCTCAGCCTTCAAAGCGAATGAAGATAGTTTTCCAAGTCTGTTGAAGGTAGAACTGGGTGAATCTAGGGCAATTAATGGAACCAATCCGACGAAGTATGCCACTGGAGCCTCTCGAGCGGTTAATTTCAATTTCCCCTGCACCACTTACAGCAACTCTCATCAAGAACATTTTGTTTACTCTTCAAATTTCTCCGTCCCGATGAGTATAGGGTAAAGAGATTGTCCATAACTTTGCTACAAGATTGTATGGACAGTTATAACCATATATTTAAATGTGCAATTGTCTGTTTTGTTCGAGTACTATAGATGTACCAGTATCACCTTTAGGTATGAGGGTTGCTAAGTTTTCTTTTGTAATTCGTGTATACGAGAATTAAGATGGAATGGATGACAGATAATGGAAGGGTTGCTTCAGAGCCCATAGATAGACCAAGCGTTCAGGCCATTGGCTTTTAGGGTCACCACTGATTTCGCCATAACGGAACGAACACAGTGATTTTAAGATTAAAGTTTGTGATATGTGCTTTGTAGGTAAATTAGGAAATTGAAATGTCGTGAACTAATGGTGTCCCATTTTTACTGTGTCGATCAAGGTTCCAAATTACCATGACACGACTGTATTCCCGTACCACTTCAAACTAAACGATATTTTGTGAATTGGACCATGTGGAGCTTCTTTGAAATTTCTTCCACCGAAGTGGTTTTCATCTCGTATCTCCAGACAAGAATGTTTTAAAAAGACCCCCAATCAAATCACAAAAGGAGCACATATTGTCTGCGCGGAACATCCATTATAACATTCACTCGCTCCCTTGATTTCCCCATTTACACTGCAATGAAAAAATGCTTCAAATTGGTTGTGACCCAGGGAGAGGAAATGGGAGGGAAATTCCTACTTATCAGATTAGTGTGCACGTCGTTTAACTTTGCCAAACACAAAGGCTGCGGTTTTATAATGATGTTAAATGGTTTAACTCTTGAAGGGTCCATATTATGAAATTTGTATACCACAACCTTTGCAATGGCTCCTTTTATGTTATAATTATCCTCATGCTCAGTGTTCGTTTTAATATTTTAAAGGAGTTTTAGTGCCTTTTTGGTTTGTATGCTAATGTGAATGAACGAATTGTGAAATCAACTCGGGAAAAACTTCAAGTTTTTATATATATTACACGAAATATTGCTGGATTTCTCTTTACAATATTGTTTTCTATGGTGATTTATTGAAGTGGAAGAACTGGCAATAACTTTGGTTCACAGTTTTAGACAAAAACACACCTATAAACTTCACAATGTCTTCTTCAAACGATTTACTGAAGCAGTGCTCTCGGTGCTGTGAGTAGTCAGAAAGGCATGGACAGTTTGAATGTTTAAAAAGTGCGTTTTTCAATCAATATAACACCATAAGGATGTTAAATACACAAAGAAGAGTAAAAGGTTTCACAAATGGCGTGTCTAAAAACACCCGCCTGGACCACAGAAACGCAGTTTGTAAAAAAATATGGCTGTTGATAATGATGGAACGAGTATTTCGATTTAATAATGTACTTGCTTTATTCACGTGTGAATTTTTGTCATTTCCTGATAGCAGAGGGGCTGTCTTTGATGTTACTTAGCCACTCACTTTGCTTAAGAAATTTACTGTGCAAATCATGAACATAAAACAATTCGGTTTTGAATAATTTATTCCTACCCAGTCAAAAGAAACATACAGAGTGGTGATCGAAGAGAAAAAGAGCAAAACCTTACAACGCTTTTTTCTTTTTCATTTATTCTTGCTGGAAGTAGACTTGCCTTCGACATGAGTTGATGCTCCAGTAGAAATACGCAATGTGACTTCCTTTTCCTTTCCATCATTAATATCTTTGCTTTCCATCTCATCGTTTTTGGGCAGCTCACCTCCTGCTACATTGAAAATATATTTCTCCAGAGACTCTGAGGATGCGAAGGCTGTAACCTCCACCTCTGAAAGCACAAAGTAATCATTTATTACTAAACCTCTGATATGGCAATTAATGTTTAAAGGATTGGGGTTTCCAACAAAGGTTTCCGCCAAAGACCACCCATATCCATTTTTCAAAACCAAATTGGAAAGATAATCTTGCTTACTCCCTTAGTCCCTTGAGTTAAAAAAGGAGATTTGGGGAGATACAATTACAACTCCTCAGTCAGTACATAGCGCTGTCAGCACCCCTTGCAAATTAAATTAAGGCGAAATCCGTCTTTCAGTTGTTATCTCAATTGGTCTAGTGATCGGACTAGAAAGAGGCTTAAACTCAATTCTGAGCTTTAGAATTTAACGTGGAATATCTCTGGATCACCAAAGGCAAACAGAACAAATAAGCAGCACCATCAAGCTAAAGAATATACCTCCTTGAAACCATGCAAGTTGTAAATACCGCCAGTTATGTCTTTATTTGCATTTGCTTGCATTATTTTTACTACTCCTAGTTTGAGAAAAGTAAGTCTAAGAGAGGGAAATTATCCGCCGTATGAAATCATATACTCCAAAAAATATCCGCCTGCATAATTATAAGAACGCTACATCAATTGTACCTTGCTTAGATCCCTGTGCTATTTCTACGGCAATCTCTACACCCTGAATTTGAGAGTAGTCTATGAGATTGCAATCTTTGTTCCTGACTCAGACTTACTTGTATCGCCAACGCTTAGCTGCAATACCTCATCTTGACGGAGACCAACAGCGACCTTTCCCAAAGAGGACTCTACAATAGTAGTCACAGACATCTTTGTCGATACATCCTTGAGCATTGATAAAGGAGGATGAAGCGCAATCACAACTTTACTAATCAAACTAGGTGATGTCAAATGTTTGGGACAAATCAATTTTCTTAATGAAAACTCAGAATCTTTTACAAAAGGCCGTGATATATTTGTGCCGCTATCTTTCCTGCTAAACATCCCTGAAGCGTATTGACAGCATGAACAATTAATGGCTACACTGATTATCCTTTCTGAAAGGTCCATGGGACGGTTTCAAACAGGTCAGGTCTCATTCACTCTTGGGAAATTACCAACTTTTTCGTCATGGGTTTCTTTAGCCATCGTAATCAAGAAATATACTACATGTACCTCTTTTAATCTGATGCAATCAATTTAGGATAAGCCTTGAATGTACAACGGAAATTAAATGAGATCTAAAACCCCAGTGATTTGAGACAGCATTAACGCGACATGTTATCTCAAAAGAAAAGGAAACACTATAGTTGCATTTTTGTATGTTTGTTTTTGTCACGTCCCCGAAGTTTTCAGTTCGTGTGTTTTATTTTATCTCTTTCCTTCTGCTCAGCCAGTCTTGGTCATAGAGAGAGAAAAGGTTAAACCTACATTGTCTTGATTTGACAGCAACTCCAATGTTGTCCCTAAAATGTCCTGGAAAAAGGGGAACATAAATAGGACCAGAGTTCAAATAAGTTTATGAATTTATTTTAAAACTCTTTCAATTTCATGCACACTTTATATTTTTTGGCTTTAGCAAGAAAAGACCTGACACTACGGTACAAGCTGATATTTAACGCTTGGGTGTTAAGGCAAGTTGCAAACATTCAACATCTGAAAAGGTAAATCACGAGAGTTACACCTAAAATTCAAACATAATGGAAACGACGAACTGTAGCGGGTTTTAGAAAGTTATCGCGTTGTTTGTGAATTTGGGCGGGCATTTATGACACAAAATCACAACACGAAACCCCGATTTTGCAGGATTTATCGAGAGCAATTATCCCTCAATGATAAAAAAAACTGCCAAATGTGTCATCGAGCACACTGAATTCAACCGTTGTTTATCTCCTAAATTCCCGAAAAACCCACAGAAAGCTATTATGCCAAAGGACGTGTAAAGGGATCAGTTTAAAGTATAAAGCAGTAAACGCAAACCTTTGCAGCAGCCATAAGGATGTCTGTGGACGTATTTCCAGCCGAAATTTCTATCGCTTCCAGCCGCTTTTGGAGTGAATTTTCGATTTCCTGAACACGATTTTGCTTCGTAGTCTCTTGCACAGAAGTTTTCATTTCAGTGCTTGCTGTTGTTTCTGTCGAAGTAATTAGATTAAAAATGATTTTGTACAACATTTTTCATGCATATGCAAACAAATAGGAGGCAAAGCTGATACCGTTTTCAAATTAATCATGAAAGTTTGAACGCCATTCTGTTCCCTGCTGAAAACAACTAGATGTGCACAATTTCCATTTTACTACGAACACTCAATGAAGCATTTATGAAGAAAATAATCGTAACTGAAAAAGGAGTGGGATTTTGTTAGCATCCTATAGATAAAGAAGATAAATGTGAGAACATAGTCCAAGGGAACCACCTAAACCCTTCTTTATTTCCCCTTGCTCATTTTTTAAAAGAAAAATTGTGTACTCAGAAGGTTCAGGACTCAACCTCGACGACATGGGCTGCGTACCGTGACTGGCTATTCAGGATGAATAAACATATACGTATTATCTATATAAAGGGAGTAACCGCCTGTTTTTTTATAAGTTATACGCTCACGTGTTCTGCTGCACAGCAAGCGTAGATTTTCTTTGCATGTAAACACATCGACTACAGTCCTAATTTAAATCTCCAGAAATAGTGGATATCTAAGTCTCAAACTACCAGGGGTTAAGATCGCAAAAGGCTTTGTGGTGACCGCCATGGCGCAGTTAGATCGTACTCATGGGACCGAGGTTGTTCAACACCATAACACATAACTAGACCATCTGGGAACCCATTCAACACGACGTCATAAAAGCTTTGCGTATCGCGTAAGCATGCATTTACCAACTTGCATAATGGTCCTCCTTGAGTGTACCCATGATCCCTTCCTGAAATCTTGAATTAACCTTGATATCAGTAAAATTTAAAGATAGGGGCCAGCTTTTTCTGTATTATGGGAAACTCTATTTGTTGTGACTAATACAGCCGGTGTAACGGTCTCACTCACCCAGCGTGCTTGGGTCTCCGGCAGAACGCACCAGATAACTGATGAGTACGTTATGACAACGTGCTGAGTTATCTAGCGTGCTGATCTCTTCAGTCGCACGCACGTACGACTTGCGCTGGTTAGCGGTCGAAATTAGGTTATTTATGTTGGGGCTTGGATGAGGATTTTTCCTTGCTGCCAGCTCCATTATCCCAGGTGGGTATGACCCACTTTGCAGATACCATATTCTGAGGCTTTTCTTCTTGGATTCGTCATGTCTTACACAATTAAGACGCCATTACTGACAAAAACACCGCGGAAATCACTTACACGCGCACCCACATATGACATGACTTATTTGTGTGTACGTACCATGTATGGGTGTACACGCACCTGTGCAATGCGTAATTACAATTACGTGTCCAGATGTAGGAACTCAACACACCCGTAAAGTGGAACCGAAACAGGGAATTACTGCACATTGTTGGATCGCAGTTCGGGTTATTCGGGGCGTTCAATTACAATCCAGAGATCCGAGCGCGGCGGAAGAATGCGACCTTTACAGCAGGGCTGCGTTTCTGTGGGTATATAAAAACTCAAAGTACAGTATTAAAAACATGACTTTGTCTTTATACCGTGGTTGATAACATCAGTGGTGCGTCTGCCACTGATGCATTTGCAAAGTCGAGTATCACAGTATTCATACAAGATCCGAAGCTTTATACTAAGCGCACATAGACGTTAAAGTTCCGTCATGCTCAAAATTCGGCAAAATTAACAAGCTTTTGGAGTTGTCGGCGGTATGTAATGTCATCTCTGCAGCAAGTGCACGCTCTCCACTTTACTTGTCTTACTAGTCTCCCAACAATTCGTTTGAGAAAGGATTTATATTATTACGTCACGAAGATTTTTTATTACCCTTACTTTGGTATAACTATTTCTGTCGCTTTCCTCGTCGTCCAAAAGACGGAAGGTCCTTAAAAACGCTTACCATTTTTAAGCTCTTTGTAAGGATCATTGTTTCAGTAGGTGTTGGTTGAACACCAGAACATTGGATGAAGACGGGTGTGTTTTTACCAGTTTCAGGACAGTTTCCCTGCTGAACTATTCATGTCCTCAGTTCTACATGGAAAAAAATGCTTAGATACCTTGCCTGTATGTATAGCGTGACAAACCTACCTGCTGCTTTCAAAGAATCATCCGTGACGCGAATAGCTCCAATGGTTGTTAGGGTTTCCGTGGGTGCATGACCACCAGATATCCTATCTGTCGTTTCCTCTGATGTCGTTTCATCTCCAAAAGTAGATGCACTCCAACCAGTGGTCTGGAGGTCTTCCATTGTTGTGTGTATGGTGGTTGACCCATCACCACGCGCTGTCACGGCATAGTCCATGGTCACCTCATTACTTGTCGCAGAAACGGTGGTTGGAGGTACCTCTAAAATATTAGCGTGAAGAAACCTTAAGAGGTGAGACTCAGTAAAGTTATCACAGTCTTTGTAACGTACCGTGCAAACAGGTATAAGAGTTAAAAGAAGTAAATCATGTTATTGTAGATAAATACCTGCTTCTAAAATTGATTTGAAATTCGAGTGAACTTAGCAAGACAACAAATATAGCACTGATTTTAATTGATGAGATCCTCGTTCGATCATGAAATTTGTTGATAAATTGTCTGTAAAATAGGATTTTTGCGGAGTAGAGGCTGGTGCCAACGCGGTGTCAACATTTCAGCAACTGGTATTATAAATATCATGTCACAGCACCCAAAGGAAATCAAAGTCTAAGTGACGGATAGTATCTATTTTAGTTATTAGATTAAATATCTGATAGCACGATGTTCCACCACTAAGCTTTGGTCCAGGTTAGTGGAGTTGATTTCAACCAGGTATGCGTTTGGCTAGAGGCTGGTATTTCATCATGCTACATAATGGAAACAGGAAGACGGAGAAAGTACCCACGGCCCTTCAGTGGTCAGACTTAAGGATGTCAATTCATTCTGGTTTCCTTTCGTACCTGATGACAAAAGGGCATCATCAGCTGAGGATCCCAGTCCACTGATCGTCTCTTCTGGAGTCGTTTCCTCTGTAGTGGTGCTGGAGATTACAGAAATGGTCCTTTGGGCTTCTGTCGAAAGGCGTTCGGTAGTTAGCGCGTCACTGGATGTTAAAATATTTTCCGTGGTCAAGGCTGTCATAACCTCTGGCACTATGGGTGAAGAAAACAGGTCGATTCGAGATTTTTATCACGTTGAAACACTCTGCAACTGGCGTTTCCGTTTTTTTTTAAATAAGCTGGGTCATGTCCAGACTGCAGGCTATTCACACTGAAAAATACGATCACCAACAATTAAGCAAAAAGGCTAGGTTGATTTCTCGATTTATCATTTATCGTGCATTTACTGTATCGACAGTGGCATATTCTACCATGCGTTTTTTTTTGGTTTGGTCATCCCACGAATAACTGCACTGATTTTGTCTTCTCTTAATTTGTGATAGTGGCTTTTCTAAACCCTGCCTTGTGTTATTGCACTGTCACTTGTGATGTTAACATATTATGAAACATTTCATGAATATCGATGTCGTTCGAGATATGAGTGCGTAGAGAACTAACTGCACGACAACAAGTTCATTTCAAGCTGTTGCTGTTTATGCACACGAACTGCTATTATTTTCATCAGCGGATGTCGTTAATCATATTAATAGGTTCTGCAAAAGCCGTGGGTTCGGTTTCCACTGTTTCATCGAAAATGGGCTGAATTAGAATCATTAATCACGCCTACACATTGACCTTTACAAACGTTAACAGTCACTCATGAAAAATGCATTCGCCAATCGATGAAGAGAGCAAAATGACACAGGCTGATAAGCCGACAACCTCCCTCGGGATCCTGAGTCAGATCAGCCTTAATAAACACAAATTATCCATTGGTGAGTTATTATCAGACACCCGTCGATGCCTTATAAGATAATTATACAATTTGAAAAGAAAACATGAAAAACAGTCAACGTCAAAGATGGATATTTGCATTTTTTGCATTTAAGACATTAGACAGAGATGGACAACAGAGTGTATAACCTAGAAACTCGACCACACGAATAAAAATCAACAAAGGTGGACTGTTGCATGCTGAGGCTGTATTTCCACATATTCGTTTCTTTCTTTTTCTCGCAACATAATCATACTCCCGACGAATGGTACTATCTCATGGTTGCTTCAAGACAAAAGGCTGTCAGAGTGATTGTCTTGGATACCATCTATGTGTTTCTCTTTGTTGATTCAGTCAGTGAGCAGTAAATTGCTTCGACAATTATTCATTTTTTTATCCGTTAAAAATCGTTCTTCTGGAAGATATGTGCATGCACATGCTACTACCGCAGAGGAAGGATACAGAAGGAGTTGCAACTCAGGCACTTCAAAGTGTTCAATAATGGTCGCCTTCGAGCCAGACAAATAATAGAAAAAAATCCAAAAATGCCCAAATACTGCCTGCATCTTAGCCGGACAAGCAGGATCTGTAATATCCTAGCAATACTTTTTGCTGGTAATTAAATACAAATAATCGACGTGAGCAGGAAATAGAGAGAAAAAGTCCTGATGTTAGACCTACTTTTGCCATCGTAAATAAACTTTTTAAATTTTGATACACTGTTCCATTATCCATGCAAAGTTTGTAATTGTATTCTCCTCTATCCAATACATCAGTGTTCAAAGACTGGGTACGAATTTGGCCAAGACTGGCCAACAAAATTTTCACTACTACTGGAAAGCTTAGTTAGTTTATTACGAACAAAATGCGATATTTCATAACAGGGAGTGATCGTGAAATCTCACAAAATACGCTTGTGTACAAATGCCATAATAAAAATGATTTAAACAAAACACATAATCCTTTAAAACAACCGGGCTATTTATTCCAAAATTAACTCCAGACGAAAGAGCCCATTAAGGGCAATAACTGCACATATAGATTTAGAGCACACAGCGCAATGCAAGCAACTGCGCAAGCATTAAATTTGATGTCGTCTTGAGATCATACCAAGCACCAACAAAGGCATGAACACTCATTTTCCTATACCTCAGTACACAAAGTTCCAAGGATGCAGATTACCATCGACAAATTGCAGCGGCGATCATAGGGTACAAAGGGGTTTCGTGGTTGTGAAACAGATCGTGATGTGTAACAAGCGTTCCCTGCGCTCTGGCTATGGACGTACCAGGCAAGCCAGAAAGTGGTAATTGGTCAGATGTTACAGCCCGGGCAGTTCAAGCTCCTTCTGTGTCTTTCCTCATAGTTTCTGATTTATTGGTGCTTCTGGTTCTTTATAAAAAAGGAGAAAAGCAACGTGCCCCCGGAAAGGGAAAGGGGGAGGAGTAAGTGTCTTCCGTCCTGTGGGTATAGGCCACTGGTTTAATAGACACAGTCTGTTTTGGAGTGAACTAGTTAATCTCTACAGTAAATGTCCCAATTGGGAAAGCCCTCAGTGCAACATAAGGTTTTATGCGAAGTAATAATGTAGACATCGGTAATACAGGCTGAAAATCTTCATGAAACGGTACATTTAAGAAGAAGTTTTTTCATATATCTGTCAGGAAACAAAGATCTGAATTCATCACTAAACTATCTGCTCATGAAAAGGAAACATTTTACAGAGTGAAACAATTTAGTTTTAAAATGTGATACGCAACACAAAGCATATTCATTTTCAATAAATTTGTTTCATTTACGGAGATTAATTAGAAAAGACGATAAACGTGGATATCCTGAAATAGACAAAAATATAAACAGATGGAATTTCCTGTTATGTAAAGCACTAGCACTTAAATACCAACCTGTTGAAAGGGAACAGGGACCTACAATGAATGGGACTTACACAGAGCAGACCACACGATGCAAGCTTTGGGGCGGAAAGCACCCCCACCTTTTTGTTGGTCATTGTTTGATTGGAATCTTAGGAATTCTTTACAGACATTGTTTATAGGGATTGGACATGGGTTGGGGGGTTACCCATCGGCCCCATATCGTGCACGGTATCGACCAGACACATGATGACTTTTTAAGACAACCACAGCAGGCCAAGTGGGTTTCAACTTCTCTGTTATGGCACAGTATATCGTGATACTTTTACCTTATTCAAAGACAAACATTTGAATAACACTTAAATCTTTATGTGGGATTCGGTTTTTCTCGAATCACACTCAGCGGAATTTTTACATTGGTGGTTAGGATGCATCCTAAAATAAATGCATGCATGTGGGAATTCCTTCAGTGTTTTAACGATAAAAATGCATCAAATCAGGAAGAGTAAACAAAAGTCTAACCTTATCGGGCGAATAAAATGTTGCTCTCTATATGCCTCAAAAAAAACCACAAAAAACAAAAAAAACACGTTGTTCGTTGTATGAAACACGCTTCCGTAAAGTGGAATCAAAAACCATATGCAAACAACCACCAGAATTGGACATGTGTATTTGAAAACGGCGGCTGAAACACGTGGTAGATAACGAAGAAAAATTCATCGGAATTAAGTGGACGAAAAAATGACACTAATTACATTTATATCGACTTTTTAAAGCTGGCGGGGAGAAACTGTGTTCATTTATGTTTAATAAAAAAAAAGAAAAAATGTCACCTCAGGTGTGACCTGCACTCTAAAATGGTCGAACTATTTCTGGCTGGGAAAAAGGATTTTTTTATTTTGTAGGGTTTGCAGATGTTGTCTGTCGGATATTTCTTACCAGTGATAGATCATTCAAATAAGCACGTTATGCACATGATGTTTATAGGTAGCTAGGTGTATGCGTTTCGTAGAACTGGAAATCTTATACGGAAAATAAAACCAAACATACTCTTATGCGCCCCGAAGCACTCCAACTGCTCCACTTTATATTCAGCTCTGCTATTAGGGCCGGACATGCTGAGGTTGGTGTACTTAAACTCCACTCCAGTGACTGGTAGCGTGTCTTTGTCCGTGATGAAACCAGAGTCAGTTTCTTGACTTGTCACTGAATCGCAATTGCACAAACCTCCTTCCAAGCAACCTGCAATTATTAAATGTACAAGTTCAGCTGTAACTCATACCGTTAACAGTTTTTGTGTTTGGCTTCTCAAACTCCATCTGTAAACACTCCTGCAGAGAATCCTGCCCTGTCCGAATTGTATAGTACCTCACTGTATCAAAACCTGTGAACTGGTGAAGTGTGATATTAAAACCCATGAAAAACTTTCAGAGCGTAGATTCCCTGATTTCACGAGCGTACTTTACGGAGTTATGTCCCCAACCTCGTAAACAAACTGGATCAACCATAGTATCATAACCCAGTTCACACATTTTCATAGTAAAAAGGGAAATAGAGGAAGATGGTAAGAGCCGATGCATTAACGTAATTAACGTATAGCGTAATGAAAAATGAAAAACAAGGTTAAAGGTTCAAAACGGAGACTACATGTGAAAAACTGACTTCTTTCGCATTTCCTTTGAGCAACACAAGCCTTTATTTGCTTCTTTGAGGTCAAACTCAAGGAGTTTTCTTGTGTCCGACTAACCGGTTGGTTTGGAGTGACAAGCGCATCCTTTGACACCAGTCTGGCCCCCGCCCCAGTTTAGCATCTCCATACCGTTCCAGGCCACCCATGCCACCTGCTGCGTACCGTTTAACCACAAAGGCAACCCATAGCACGTGTACGACACTCTCTGACGACAAGCAGCGGAGGCTTTGATGAGTGCCCGGATGGATTCCAGATCAGGAATGTTCTCGTACGTGATGTTGAAACGATGATTGTGATCCACGAATCTCCGAACGTTGTTTGTAGTTCGAATAACTGTGGTACCTTTGAAGAGAAAAAATAATGTTGCAGGCAGCAGCCTTAAGAGGTAAATTAAAAAGAGGGGTGTACTTAGAGAGAAGAAAGCATAAACTGTTTGACATCTGTCATGAATAACAATTGACTTGGTTATATTTAGAATAAATAGGAATTGACTTGGTCAATTATTATGCATTACTTTGTCTCACTGATGTATCCAAGTGAGGGCCAAAGAAAGCCGGCCAAGCCTAAAAGCCTTAAGGTTTGTAATGAGAGGATACCTGACAAACAAAACACACTTTTAGAAATACCGATGTGAAACAACTGGTCCTTTCAGGACCTCAAAACTCAAAAGAATGATGCGCGTCAATGGTGTTATTGCAAACATTCCATTCTATTCAAGTCCATCATGCAAACCAGTCTCATTAGGTTGAAAGAGAAACACTGCAATAAACCAAAGAGTTTTTTTATTTAATATGGAAAGAAAAATACAAAAGATACTTTTTCTGGGCGGTAGGAAAAGATACCAACGATGCAAGTGGAGATATCAAGATGAGACGAACTGAATCAAACTAGGGCAAAATACCTCAATACACCAGTGTACACCATTTGTAAAATCCCCCAAATCGAACTTCCATGTAATAGTGAAATATCTTATTTGAAAGAAAGTATGTAACAGCCTCAAACAGTCTGTAAAATATTTCGGCCCAGAATGCTGTAGTTTTTGAGAAAACATAACTTTTGTTCTCTTTTTCTTCACTATGGTCGGCTGATCATCGTATAAGAGTTTATTTCACTTCGTACATTGAACAGGAGCCGATTTTCTCGCTTGTAGTGTTTGCAGATGTTGTGGGAGTCTCCATTGATGAACGGGTAAACCCCAAAGCAGATAAAATAGAGCGACAGAAAATCAGTAAAAAGCATTGTGAACAGAAATTATAGGAAGCCGAGTGTAAGGTATAAAGTGAAAAATGGATCAGTGTGAAGTTAAATTTTATTTAGGCCTAAGGAAAGAATTTTCTTAACACGATTGTCTTTACTTTCGAATTCATAATCAACCCTAGAACATGGTATGATCCAAATATGGTGGATGTTCCGAGCAGAATGGTGAAAGAGATTTTTGTCAACAACAAGGACGATTTCCACACGTTAAACCTCTTTTGTTTCAAGACAGAATCTATTCTTTGTTTAATACTATTAGTCAACTATAAGACTGGAGTTTTTAGACTTTTATCGATGTGTAAACTGAAGTGAAAGTGCGGCCATTAAAGGCACGATCGCGTGCATGTACATTACCATATAGGCCTACTCGTTCACGGACACGAATCGACTACGTTCCTGGATGATGTTTTTTTCATGAATCCGCAATGCTACATTGTCGAGGAGGCGCATTACTCCGACGTAAATTCACTGATTACCCCCAGCTGTTGAAACTGCTCTTTTTTAAGGGGAATAAGATCCTGTCGTGCCTGTTTCCTACCCTGACCCTGCAGATGTTGTTCGCTTTAGTATTCTAACGCCCTGTGATTCATAGATTTTACGCAAGATAACTAGACCTTCCATTTTAAATGTTGAAAATGCCGCGCTGTTTTTCTCAATTTTTCACAAAGCAGTTGACTCAACCATGAAACAAGTCAGTGCAACAGAGTGACAGAAATTATACACTTTTCTATTATTTGAATTACATCTGTTTCATTCGACTCCAGCAATCAGTTATGAAGAAAATAATTCCTGTGAGCAGCAGCTGTTACCGGGGGATTGGTGCGTGGATGAAAGCTGACAGAATACTTGAAAGGCCGGCACGTGTCCTGGTCCATCGGGGTCAATATTGAAGTAACCGTCCTGGGACAGACCGGTGATACTCATCACATCAAGACATGTTCTATAGCCCAGAGAAACATCTACAAAAAGAGTTAAACAAGAAATGTTGAAAACGGAATTTTACTACCTCACTAACTTCTGCATGTTTGTTTTGCCTGGTTTGAATAATCACAGCAGCAAAATTAATCCCTATACCTGATAGAAAATATTGAAAATAAAAATTACACAACTGTCATAGTCTGATTACATCTAAGGCTTAGGTCAGTTGCCAATAAAATGTCGGCCTCGTAGGTGTGATATTCACAGCTCAAAATTCTACGCATTCGAGACTGACCTTGAAACTTGAAACCTAAAGCAATGCGGTCTTTCCAATCATGTGAAAAGCCGTTTTGTGTCAACCAAGTTTTGGTATTATTACATCTAGGGTATCTAATTATGTTCTGTACATTTGACCAATAGATTGCTTGGTTCATACTACTCGAAAACGTGTACAATTACAAATATGTACTCTGTAAAATGTTTTTGTTAAAAATAACACCAATGGTGTAGAATTTTATTATTTCCTACTTTTTATTTTGGGCAAGGTTCTGGTATTAAACAACACCAGTCAAAGAATTAAAAGAAATTTATACCAGTTGTGGTATTTACTTTGACACCAAAGGGGAAATATACTAATTCAAAATTGGTATTTATTTTGGGCAAGGCTTTGGGTGGTAAAAACACCAATTTTGGTGTTTAACCTTCACAACAAATACGGGAGTAGAATAATTCCAAAAATGGTGTTTTGTTTATTTTGGGTAAGTAATTTGGTGTTAGTTAAAACTCTTACTTGGCATTACGAGACGCCACACTTATAGTGGTGTTAATATTAATACCCCAAATGGTGTCCTCTCATAATATGGCGCCAACAAAACGATGCGTCATTTTTGGTAGGCCTACATGGCGAAAAGTAGGTAAGCAATCCGGTCATCACATACATAGAGATCATTGACGATTTCCCATTGTTATTAAGTGCAAAGGAAATGCGAACATCGAGCATATTTGGATGCACAACAGAATCCGTTAATCAGAAATTAAAGCTGTTTGTGTTAGTATGTCTCACACTTATATCCCACACTGTTTGGAAAATATTGACTGATGAACTGATATGACGAGATTTTTACGCACTTCACAATGTACCCGAGTGTTTATCCTTCATTAACTCCTACAAAAATACCTAGACAGAAATATTGCCGAACTCAAATTCTGTCAGATCGCAAAACATGAAAACTGTACGCCTTTACCAGTTCATCAGATTCAGCTGGTAGAAGTTGGTCATTTTCAAGACTAAAAATAAACCGTAATTGATACGAGATGACATCAGAAAAGCTGCAGAGAATTATCTTCCCCAACAAAAAGGATAACTAGACGGGATGTGTTGTTTTAGTAATAAACATAAGGTGATCGGGCAATATCGATTTCCAGTTTTAAAATGTCATAGAGTCTGGTTGCATGTCATAGAAAAGTCAACCAAAATTAGAAAAGAAATTTCAATTTCGTTTGTATGAAAAAGAGCAGAAAGCTGAACCACTACAAACCGAACAGGTGAGCAATGAACAAAATGTGTGAAATAATAATTTATTCCATATCTTTGACTGGAATAAACCATTATTCCACAGAAATACAAGAAACAATAAAAACAGGCAAGGAGGTTGTCATTCGTTGCTGAACTGTATTGCATTGTATCAAACCAGACCTGTTACGATGAAATGAACCATTTGCTTTCAGCTCATGTAAAGAGCAAATCCAGTCTTCATCATGTCTGACATTATAAATTTATCAGTTTTGTGTGCTAATGGCAGTCATCATAATGTGCAACCTCTGCTCGATACAAACTATCACTCACCATGACGGACCTCAGTCTTAATGCATTATAATGCATTAAATCAATGCAGAACATTTCGTTTAACAGGGCAGCTTATGAAGGTTGTAAACATACCATCCATGCTTGTCTTAATTAAGATGTGCTCTCCATGTCACAAGAGAAGCTCCCTTGAAAAAGTCCCGTTTCGCCAACTCTTATTTGACACGACAGAAAACTAAGGGCACATCCAGAACCAACGCTTTGGGGGTGGGTTTTTAGGTGATGGGGGAACATCGTGGGTTTGTCATTGCTTTTCAGATGAAGTAACATACAAATAATTGACTATCTGTACTCCATGAGGTGATAAAGGAAACTGTGCCATCCCATTGGGCGAAGGTGAATGGAATGGAATATTCCACTCGCTTTTCTTCCTTCCAAGGAGACAAAACTCTGTCCTTCAGAAGCTTTCGTCCTCCTTCACCCATGCGCAATTAATAATAATTACTTAGCGCTGATAAATTGAATTTATTCGATGGGATTTTAGTCGATGGGATTGTACTGGAACTGGCAAAGATTTTCTATGGACATTCGTCTTTTTCACGCAGTTTTGTCAGACTCGAATAGAGGCTACATTATTGACAGCAAAAGTTCATGCAAGGGGCCTGTTAATAACAACTGCCTATCTCCACGCTTGAGCTGTTATTTATCACTTGATCACTCAAGCTTATGCTTGAAAAGCTCAATATATGAAAAGACCAATTATTATAACAACCCCTAGGGTGTATGGAAAATTATATTGAAATCGGAGGATTCAGGATTGTTAGGGTTAATGGTTATAAACTGAGGAGATGAATTTAATAACTCTGTAAATTGGAAAGCGACATTACAGCCCCAAAAGCCTGGTCAATCCAGCGTGAATAAAGACTTGGTGATTAGGCGGAAAATCAATCAATTGCAATTTAATTCAACCAGGGTACTTTGACTGTAAGAAAGGAGAATATTGAAGTTGCGATATTCTTTTGAACATTGGATATTTGCGACTGGTGAACAAGTCGCTAAGTGGTTTGTGGCCTAAAACGACGTCTTGGAAATCTCAGGAATCTCCGAGTAGATTTGTACCTATATTATTTTGCGTAAGTGCAAAACGAAAGGCATAATCGCACAGCGTTATCATTTAAAATGATTGCAGGACATGATATTTTAACATCCGGGGAGCTTATACTATCAGGTGAAGCCGATGATGTTATGCAACCCCAAGGCTGCTCAAACCTCATGCACCACATCATTGTTTTGTTACACAACTGTCGTAAATACTTTGTAAAATTTTCCTAACGTCTCGAATTTAATAACGAGAATCTTGGCTCGTTGCTGCACAGAGGGGTGTAGGACGCGCACAGACTCGGTGCACCCTCGCGGATCCAAGGGAGGGGGTCGAAGCCCCCCCCCGCTCTGAGACAAAAAGGTAAGAAAAAAGTGGGAAAAATGCCAGAAAAAATGTTTAAAGTAAGCACACCCAATACCATTGTAAACAATGTACGCTAAACGATGTTTCACCATCGTTTCCGCTTGTCCGCAAAATGAGACATGAAAAAAATCTCCGGCGTGAGTCCCCTACCTGGAAAAATTCCGTGATTCGCACCTGCGGTGAGTTGCTGTATTGGTTTAATTGTGTTGGTTGCACGTCTTATTCGAAGGTAAAATTTGTATATTTCAAAGCCATAAGAGCGACCCTTTTGCTCTATGATATGCACATACGCATAAATCCCGTGGGTCAGAAGTGGGGGGTATATATCCCAACACTTTTTGACCACAGATATGGTCTATTGAATAAACCGTCCTCACTTTTTCTATGTGAGAAAAATAATGTTAAGAATTTTTGGACTTCTTAACAACCAACATGTATTCAATGAAACTAAAAAAGGAGAACATTTTTAAAGCCATAAATTTCTGCACTGGATAAAAGGTTCTGCAGGAAAGTAATACATATTACAGATGAACATTTGTATCAGGAATATCGCCACCTTGTGTTACTTTTAAAAAAAAAGGTCCAGTGCTGTCCAGTGCTGTATTCGAATACAGCCGAGTACAAGTACTGGTTTCCGGGTACAAGTACCTGCACGTACAAGTACAAGTACTTTTAATTTTGAGTACGAGTACGAGTACTTGGAACCAAACTACCAATGCCCAAGTAAATCGCGGGACCGATCTGGAGTACCACAATATAATTAATATTATTATAATATTATATTATATTATAATATAATAAGTACGTGACTGGTTAAGTACGCCCACAGACGGCGAATGGGTAGTATACGTTAATGGTCCCACATTCGGCCTTTTTTGTCAGAGCCATATCAAATTAATATCGGGTCACTGGGGTCGATATTTTTGTACCTTATTTTAACGGCCGTGGTAAGTTAACTTCAAGGATTTTTTTATCGAGTACTGTTAATCGCGTACGAGTACTTTGATGCTCGAGTACAATTTCTAGATGTTGGGTTCCGAGTATTTTGTAGCCCGAGTACAAGAACTGTAGTTCGAGTACGAGTACTTGGACGTCCGAGTAGGAGTACGAATACTCTGAAAAACGGTACTCGAGTACTACTTGAGTACGAGCACCGAGTACGAGTACAAGTACTACAACACTGAAACCGTCTACAGTTTAGTAACAGTTGTAAATCTTTCCTGTTATAGGGAGGAAGAAAATTGACAATCGCTTTAGAAAAATCCGCATTTTGCCCCTGGACTCAAGACTTGAATATGCCCCTTCAATCATCCAACGTAAAACCAAAAATAAAACAATAAATAAAGTACTGATATAAAACATTAATGAATTGTAACCTACAACAAATATCTGGAAACAGCTACAGTCGAGTGTACGTGTTATATCAAATACGGACTCAATACGGTACGGTATATCAAATATGAAATCGCAGCATCGCGAGTATATTAGTTGAAGGAATTCTGTGCATAGAGTAATTATTTTTGCATGCAATACGACCAATGAGTCTATGTTTGATGGAGGCCAAATGTGATCCTCCGACTGCCTAAAGACCCCTTTCATGTTGACTACTTTTCGTATACAGGTATGTGGCCAAACATTTTAGAAATACCACCCTCGTGGTGTAAATTGTTTCCCTCAAACGTAAATTTGCCGTATACTTTTAGACAGGGTATGTTCATTTAGAGTTCCGCAGTAAAGTGTTTGTTATTTTGGTGTCCAGATAGCTGCATGAGATTTTTTCACCGAGCCAATTAGTCTTTGCGTCACTGCCAGCCATAGTTTTAACCGCCACTGGCAGGCAAATACACGACGTGGCGTACAAGAAGCAGGCCCTATAGGGCTTTTGTGGAGACACTGGGGTGGGGCTTCTCTGTGAGTAACCAACAGGGCATGACTGCGACAGGCAGTTGCTTAAAAAATATAGCAACCCAAAAGCACAGAAGGCTGCTTTTCACCATGGTTAACAACTATGAGGACTTCAATCTGTCATGCACAGACAAGTGGTTGCGTTTTCAGGATTAATGGAATTGGGATAAACATTGCACACATAAACCTAAACGTAGACAAGTCGCTGCAAGTAATTCAGCTGAGGGGCTGTTTGTACTCCCTGCTACACATTTCATCGTTCATTTAATTTGTCACATTCACGTCAATGCTGCTATGGCGATTTCACCAGTCCTCTCTCCAACACGGGTATCTGCCCAGAGAAATCACTGCTAGTATGGCTTTCTAATTTAATATGGATCTAAAGAGTGTTGTTTCTCACGAAGAATTAAAAAACACCGCAAACATTAGCTATACACAATTTGAACAAAATTTTTCTGTCGGGGTTGCGAATATGAAACTCGTAAAATATTAGTCCTTTAAACACTTCGAAAGAACGGACATCAATAATACTATTCAGAAATTTCACATCTTTTTCATTATAATTTAAGGGGCTGCAGTGTCATGGAACAATGGGATGTCACGAGTTGGGGTCAGCGGGTTGAGCACAGTCATAATAGTCAGCAGTACAGTGGTCGGATCAACCGCATGGATAATTTCAAAGTGAAATCGAGTGCTAACAGATGCAAAATCAGGGATTGCAAATGAGAGATGAAATATTTGCTGCAGCGGGAGATCAATTTTACGCCGCGGTAAAATCTTATAAATCGCCGTGGCGAGATAGTAACTCGCCGCGGCGAGATATTAACTCGCCACGGCGAGATAGTAACTCGGAAAAAAAATTCTTTTGTTTTCTTTTTTGTAGGAAATCAAGCTTGGTTGAAACGTAATATCGTTTTTTGTTCCAATTAGCAACCTAAAACCAAATTTCACTGCATTTCATCCTAAAAACACACTTGAAAACGGCACGTTGAATAGGACTTAAGAAACTATTGAAATAAAAGTTGCGGCGGGATATCAATTTGACGCCGAGGCAAGATCTTACTCGCCTGCAGGATACATCCAAAGATTAAACCCGCCGCGACGAGATAGATAGATATCTTGAAATTGTTTTTTGCAAGTGACCCTTATACACTTCTGTACTTGCACGCTTCCGTACTTCCGTATGAACGAAATCCCAAGATGAAAAGATGGTGTGAATCCAATTGTGCATGCGATATAGTGAATCATTCTAAGGGATCATGTTCTTCCTCACTTTTACTGAAGTGGATACAAATTGCAGAAATGTACAAAATGTGTATACAGGATTTTTAAGGTGGCTTTATCACTGACAGAGTGAGGTTCGACCGTATTTTCGCCATTGGGTTTCATATTTTAAGGCATGCATCCAAACTATTGACAACTTTGTGAGAGAGCTGTATACTATAGAGCGCTCCCTTGCCGTACAAGCCTCATGTGAATGTCGTCGCTGGTTTTAACGAGCAAAAAGTCATCCAGCTAGACAATAATAAAGTAAATAAAATGTTGTTCATGTGTGTACTTATACATGGGTATTGCATTTCACAGCACTTTATTCGATATTCGTTCCATCTTATCTTTTGTTCAAATTGTCAGCGCTATGGACTGCTTTACACCTATATCCGCGCGGGAATGAGAAATTGGCCTCTAGCAGATTAATCCTGCTCAATGTTCAAAACTCACTTGATGAGGTATTAGCAACATTGACCCATCCATCTTCCGTCTCACGCTGCACCTGAATGAAAGGTGTCGTTTCCCATTGTGTAACGTTCAGTGGAGGTTCCTCGTGCAAAGAAGCGGTCCAGTTAAGGTGAGGCGAAACCATAGATTGTTCTGTAGCTCCCGATATACGCCGAGTTGAACGTCGCCACGACCACCGACGTCTCCGGTACCAATATGACGCCGAAGAAGGAGCCATCTCAGCAAACACTATCCATAACACCACAATTTTGACAACTGCTCCCATATTTGAAAAAAAAAGTGGAAATAAACTCCAAACCGTGTATCAATATTTGCAAATAGTGATTTACTCTCTTCGGCTGACTCTGTGAAAAACTGTGTTGTCACTGTAAGAACTTACTCACTGCAAGCCAACGAAACGGTGAGACAAATTCATTTGCAACGCGCGGTTGCCTACTTCGATGTTTTCTCGGCGCATTGAATACTTCGACGCATGCGCGACCTGAACTATGGGTTTTTATAAAATTATGAGCTTATTAAACTTAGTTATGAACTCATTAAAAAATCTTGTGTGTATGAAACATTTTATTGAAGTTGAAAGCTGGAAAAATTCAAGGTTAAGATAGATTAAGCAACTTCGCGAGCCATTTGCGATCTGACAAACGATTTTTCCACTTAAACCAGCTTTATCTACTCATAAAGTTTAATCAGCCATGGCATTAATTTTTTCATTGCACTACTTCAAATTAAGTAGCTGTTTCAATACCCGATTTTGGAAACTGTGTATGCACGTTCAAATTGACTGCGCTCAAATAATGGCTGTGCTGGTTCCGTTGGTTTTTGTCGCCATGACAATTTTGCGCATGGATGGAAAATAACTCTTTCAGTCTCTGATGTGAAGGAAGTGAGTCGTCAACGTGGAAAGGAGGGTGCAATAATAAAAAGGGAATAATAAAATGCCAGACAAAAGATACGTGAAGCTATACTTGGTTCCTTGCGGTATAAAGCTTGTTAATCAGACTATAATTTAACACTGTCCTTCGTTTAGTGTCCTACATACTAACAATCACCAACATGGGTAAATCGGAGAGGACAGTTGAAAACTGTTGAAGAGTTGTTAAGGATTTCAGGTAAGGCTAATTAAAACTCACTTCGCAGTAGCAATCAACCTGGAATTGTGTGTAAGTTCGGGAAACTACAGTGCCACATGTGTTTATTTGAGATTATGAAAGAAATACAACTATTTTGAAATGAAAAACGTGACGGCATCTCCATTTCCACATATTTTGTCCATTTCATGTCAAATTTGAAATGTTCCAAGGGTCGTATTATATTAAATCACGTACCTGAGTTGGTCTAGGAAAAGAAAACTAACCACTGCAGTGGTTTTTTGAAACAGCAATGTACTGCCGTTTCGAAAACTAGTTCAACAAACCTTCAGATTTTCTACTTACGTAAGCCAACCGGCGAACCTAGCCATCTCAGAAAATATATATGCCCACAGCATCATGACAATGCGCATAGAGTTAGTCGTTGTAGAGGCAAAACACAAGTTTCCATTTCAACGCATATACACATAACAAATAAACACATAACAAGTGCCCTAGAGACTTTTTTCTCTCAAAGTTTACCTGGCAGTTTCTATAGACCCAAGGAGTACATTGACAAAACAGAATCGGAAATTCTGACCGCTGCAATGCAGTAATAATGTACACACGTCTTTGCAATGTCTTTGCAAGTGTCTTTAAATACCATTGTAAACTGCTAGTGCTATTGCTAGTTCTAGCATCGGTAAATGTGGTGGTATTAGAAATAGTTAGGATGCAAGTCTTGGTCAGGCACTACACAAGCCAAACATTAGTCTGAAAAAGGAAATGTTTTCCTTCTTCCATGATTAACATCGTGAACTTTGAACACTTGGGTCCTGTAAGGGATTATCTGACAACCTTGAGGCGTACCTGCGGGCGTGGTAGAAGCGTCAGTATGAAATCCTGCTACGGTAGCTGGCAAGGCCAAAGGATGGTGGTACGGCAGTGGTTGTGTAGACGAGGCTAAGCTGAAACAGACCACCACGGCAATGGCCTCTCTCAGGCTACGATAACACCCACTTAGGGATGGAAGGATGGGACCAAAAGGTGGACCATTCGCTGACATCTTCCCTGCTAGAGACACACTACTGCATCCGTAATATGGCACGTCGGAGCAAGGAATGAGCGAGCAGGCCCGTTGGAGGGCTAGGCCTATACGTCAATGCATTAGCAAGCGCCTGTGATGCATTACCTGTCATCCCACGTCATTACCGGTGAAAGCACGGTCCTATACTGGGCAGTTAAGAGCCGTAAAGATCGTGTGCCTTTAACAGAGTCCCATTTACTGAATAAAAAAAACGAGTCTAATCGACGTACGCACCACCGAGGACATGCCAGCCCACCGCTCGTACAACATTGTGCGAGGGAATTACGTACAAAGCAGAATTTGGGTCAAAAAGTTTGGAACATATTTTGCTAAACGGGTCGGAATGCCTTTTTTTTCAAAATCGAACGTGTTTTCAAAAATCGAATGTTTTTTAAAACGAATGTCATATTTAAAAGATGGTATTTTTGACTTTTGGAATGCATTTTTTTTAAACCGAACAAAATTTTAAAGATGCAATTCCTTTTTTTTTTTAATTTCCAATAAATTTTTAAAGAGAGGATGCATTTATATTATACGGAACACGTTTTCTAGATTGGAATAAGTTTTTAAAGAGTGAACATATTTTCAAAATTCAAATATGATTTTACAAATCAAACATTTTCTCAAAGCCCAAACATTTTTTAAGATTGGAAGAAAATTGTTAAATCCGAATAATATTTTTAAAATTGGAACACTTTTCCCAACATAAAGCTGTCATTCGGAATCTCCTTTCATCCAAAGTGAGAAAGCATCTAAATTTCCAAAGCATCCACGTTTAATTAAGAAGCACCAATTGTTTTTGACCGTGTTAAGCCCGAGGTTTGAAACCTTTTTGGACGATTCGGCTGTTTTAGGCATGCGCATGCGCAGGCACTGAGACGCGCAAAGCATTGTTGGTTTACACACTACCAAATTATTGCATTTACCTCTGTGCGCACGTGTCACTAAAACGCTAAACCCGTGTTATTGTTCAAATGAACGCTACTTAATGACTGCTCAACACAAACGACGTCATTAATCCCGTAATAGTTGACCTTCCCAGCTATCTGTACAGTAGTGCAGTAGGGACTAGCAAAGGCATTATAGGTGACTTATTTTACCAACAATTTCTCTCATCCCCCAATACCACACTATACGCAGGCATAATTCATGGGCCTGGTCAGGAAGACCAACGGGGTAGGCCTATATCGAGAACCTTCCCCAACCGATTGGAATGTGACATTTAATAACCTAGGAAACACGCACACATTAGGGCCTAACATTATGTTGTTCTACAATACTTTTTCTGTAAAAGTATAAAACCCCCAGATTAAAGGAAAACTTGGATCACTTTCCGAACACAGTTTCGTAGCTTTACAACTTTTTACTCTACATTCCAATATCAAAATCAGTGCAGTTGACTGCAGTTGAAATGCAGTTTTTCCATAACATTGTTAACTATGTGACGTAATCTAAATTTGTATGTTGACTAAACGTGAGTTGTAAAAGTGCGGTTCGCACGTATTGTCCCCGGCATCTGTAGGCTTTGACAATGCCGGTTCAGCCTTAAGCAGAATCACCCCCTCAACGGTTATATTGGAGTGTTCATTTTGTTGGTAGCGAAGCGACCGTAACGCCTGCATTTCATAGTCATTCGTGAATCAGCGAAGTGCAGTTCCGACAAAAAGCGCCTCTGTTGCGAGGAAAATTGCGCCCTCTCGTGGTCCAGCTCGAGGCTCATACGGGCTGAATTCGGGCGGCTTGTTGTCGTATGTTCACGAACAGCTTGATTTGTTGTTCTTGGATCAGCCGCTCGAACGCCAGTAACGTACAACCGGTTATTGCAGGTAGTTAGTCACAAGCAACATGCAACATGGCGGCATCCGTGTACGTTATTCGAGAGTTAATGTTTGGATAACTGGGCTGAATTCTTTTCTTTTCAGGAACATTCATTTCTGTGTTATGAAGAATAATTAATGTTACTTTTGAAAAATTTCCTATAGTCTTTGGCTTTGTAAGCCATCACTTTACTTTTTGCCATGTTTGCAGCTGTTCAAAAATCAAACTCTCACGAGTTTTTCCGTGTGTTCCTGTAAAACCCTGACGAGGAGGTGGTGTGTGATCCTGTTCCGAGAAAAGTGTTTTTGAGTCGTGTACGTTCCCACCGTTCGAGCCATGACAACAGTGAAGATGCAAAGTACGACGTAATCACCAAAGGCAGTATGAGACGGCGTGTGCAGGTAATGTGGAACTGTGAGTGTAATATGGGACACTGATTCTAAGACAATGTAATGACATTATAATTATTTTGCACAACTGGGAAATATTAACACATCCAATTTCACTTATTTGATATGTTTAATGTATATAAAAAGCGTCCTTTGACATCTTTATACATAAAACTTAGACAAGACGTGTAATTATCTCACTTTAAAAATGCCGTTTCATAAATTAATTCAAATTGCCTCGTCATACTTGGAATCAAGATAAAAAGTGTATAAACACATGCATCGTATCGTGACATGTATGCCAAAACTTTTATTTCACACCTGAAATATTGTTGAATGCTGTTTTGGTTACATTATAATTGCCTATGCAAGCCTGTAATTTGTTGTCAGGACCATGTCTTTGGCTCTACATGCATTGATGTCCACCTGTATGTCTTCAGACAACCATAAAGCCCGGCGTAATTTCCGAACATTTGACTGGCATCTGAATAAAAAGGACAGCAAAATAAATAATATCCACAAAACCTAACTCGATTCTGAATTAATATCACTAATTATATGCTTAAACAAACAGAAAAGTTAACATCAAACTCTATGTATTTACCCAAATTTAACAGGCAAACAAATCCTGTCCGCCATATTGGATTATTACCTGCACCTCGTTGTGATGGCGGAGCTCGCATTCAATGCTTTATTATTATTATACACAGGATACCACACGCTGACGTAGCTCAAAAGACTTCATAAAATCGCTAAAAAAGGCCAGGAATTCAGCATATCCACAGACAGTTTTACAGTTTAAGCATATTTGGTGAAATATCGATCAGCAACAAATACCACTAACGTCACATACCTTGTCAAGTTTTAATTTTTAATGAACTTTTTCCGTGAGATTCACTAAAATCTAAGGTCGAGTTCGGGCGGCCTGTTCTTGACACGGGTTTCTTGTTCTCGCGCTCGAACGGCGGGAATACGACTCAAGAACATTGTTCTCGGAACAGGATCACACACCACCTCCTCATCAGGGTTTTACAGGAACAAACGGAAAAAACTCGTGAGATTTTGATTTTTGAACAGCTGTAAAAAGTAGAGAGATGGCTTCCAAAGCCATAGACAATAGGAAGTTTGCAAAATTAACATTAATTATTTTCCGTAACACAAAAATGAATGTTCCTGTTTATATAGAAAAGAAACCAGCCCATCCAAACATTAACTCTCGAATGACGTACCCTACATGGACGCCGCCATGTTGCATGTTGCTTGTCACTAACTACCAGCGATAACCGGTTGTTTGTTCCCGGCGTTCGAGCAGCCGACCCACGAACAACCAATTGAGCTGTTCGTAAACATACGGGAACTAGCCGCCCGAACTCGGCCTACAACTCCTCCATGTTTGGAAGTGATGGCTAGTCTCTATAACAAGCATTGAGGGCGTTGTTTCGTGCCAGTGAATGTTTACAGCGGAGGAAGCGCCGATTTTAATTCATTCGTCCCATATTACCTACAGTCCTATATTACCTGTACGTACCCTACGCATTGGCATCAGCCCCCCGTATGTACGCAATGGCATCAACCCCCCCCCCGTATGTACGCATTGGCATCAGCCCCCCGTATGTACGCATTGGCATCAGCCCCCCGTATGTACGCATTGGCATCA